GTAAGGCTGGAAAAATAACTGGAGAGCAGTAAAGAATGAGGGGGAGAATGCAAGCATCTGTAAAACGCCAGATTAGGGCTTGCGGTATGTGATATGGACGCCAGCGGCGGATATCATATAAAAGTTTACGGATTTTGATAAAAAGGCCTCCTATATGAAGAGCAAATGCAAAGTTGGATGCTAGAGTAACACCAAGGTATCGGAAAGAGGATACTTCGTTGGGCAGAATGTCAGTAATTTCGGGACTTGGTGAGGGTCGCAGTCGAAAAATACACTGGACTGACTTTCTCTCATTAAGTAGTAGGCCATTTGCTGACAACCATTTTGAGACATGGTCTAGGCCATCCTTCAGTATTTGGAGATGTGTCTGACTTTTGAGAGGAGTTCGCTCGTAAGGTCAGTTGAGAAACCAGAGGAATTAACTAAGGGCCTTCAGTGGGTCCCCCAAACGGCCTCTATGTGTATACGTCATACCAAAGTAACCATCTCGATGAAGTTGATATGTGGCTTTAAGCTGGTCAAGAATATGGTAGAACTACCGTCGGCAAGAGGCGGGAATTGGAACCCCCTTATTCCGACGGCCTTGCGCTAATTTCCTGGGCAATTAGGCTTAGTGTTCAGTTTAAGAGAAGTGTTTAGGTAGGGTTACAGTTAAGGTTAGAATTACAGTTAATTTTAGAAATTCGGGTTGGTTTCTCCGGCAGGCGAGTGGGTACCCGAAAAACTAAGACTATTTTTTAGATTTATTAAAATTTAAGATCACACCTGAAAAATTATCTCCATATGAATAATATCCATCAGATGATATGAACATGTACCAATGGGTGTTCCACTTTTCTAAACCTTTTTTATATTCTTCTGACCTAACACTGTTAAGTGCCTCCAGCGATTTTTTTTACTTACCTCTTATACCTTCTGAAAACTCTCCGCCATTAGGTTTGACTTCACGGTTAGGAAGAAGTCGCTAGGTCGGACGCCTGTATGGGATAATAAACCGTAATTATGCCATTTTTCGTGTAGGCGTAGACCTGTTATCATTATGAAGCAGCCGGTCTCCCGATGCCACTGCCTCACGAAATAACTTCAGCCCTTGTAGATAGAAATTTTGGTTGACTGTGATGCAATGGGGAACAACTTCAAAGTGAGCGGCTTCTTGGCTGTTGAAAAGCAAATCATGGACTTTAAATTTGATTTGTGGAGGATGGGAGGCCACCCAGGTGGTATTGACACAAGGACATTTCTAAATTGAGGAAACTACTCATAAGTTCTTGCCTGCCCCAAAGTTCCTTCCCCATGAACTTCCCAAAACATTGCAGCTGGCTCTGCCACTTTTCTTTAATAGGAAACAGGATTTGATTTTGGTGTTTGGCTCCTTAAAGTTTGTAGTCGCAAAATTGCCCGGAGCGTTGGGAGTGTCTTTAACAAAAGATCACTCTGTCCACTGCGATCGCTTATTCATGCAGGCTACATGACCAACTGAACAAGGAGAAAGTTTTCTGAAAGTACCCAGCGGTAAAGAGCGGCACCAGCAACCCACTTGCTTAAAGAGCACATTTATCATCCGCTTGGATACCGTC